TGTTTAATTTCATGAGAGATTTTATTTTGCCCCGTCAGAGCCCTTCAGCATAAAGAGACATTCATATACATATATATGAACATTTCCAGAAACATTTATAATACATTTTTTAAAAAATACCAGCTTAATGGTATTTATTTACAAAAAGATTTCATTATCTAATTTTAAACCTTTTGCTATGATGACAGTTTTTTCTTTTCTTTTTTTTTGCTCCCGGGGATCGAACTCGGGACCCTGCGCTTGCGAAGCAGGCGCCGAAAACACTGAGCTAAATCCCGGGCCGACAGTTTTTTTCTGATAAAGTACAGGAATGCAAAATAACTACAAAGATTTAGCACATTTTTAGTGTTAGCAATAATGCTTTTTTGTTTTTAATGAAACAGTACACAGAAAAAATTTTAAACTATTTCAACTGCATATTCCAGCAATTACCACTGAAATAATTACTGGGACTGAGCAAGATTAAAAAACAAAACAAAACAAAAAACAAGTGCAGCAACTAAAAAACACCTGCATGTACAGTTTAAGGTATACACAAGCTAGAGCTCTACACCAAGCATGCTTGCCCCTGACGTGGACAATGTTAAGAGAAACTAAATCTTGCTCTCTCTCATATTATCTTTTGGTAATGCATTTACAATGAACCAATAGTATAACTAGAAAGGAAAGTGTGTTTCTAATTCTAACTACCATGTTAAGTAGAAGCCACACCTAAAGTATCACAGTACTATTGATTTACAAAAAAAGAAAAAAAATTAAAATGACTTATCCTTTTTGCATTGTTTTCCACTGATACATTATGTCTGTTTTTAATTCATTACATTGTTTTCAGCTGAAGCAAAGTTTAGACAACACAAAACAAATAGCAAAAGTATTTAAAAATAACAAACTCAAATAAATAGAATTCCATTGCCATCAACCCATACCCATTTTTGAATGCCTGAGTCAAAAGACCTACAATAAGTTAGTACATATTTATTTATATATTGTATAAAATTTTAATTTAACCTATAAGCCTTCCTCATTGCAAAACTATTCATGATTTTTCTGATGTAAGGAAAAAAATAAACAGAGCACTTACAAGTAGAACTAGACTACCATACTCAATTTATAAGTGAATTATGCCTAACAATTTGACTGTGCTAATAACTGAAGAAAGCAATGTTATACCCTGGTAACTGGTACATTATTAAAATAATTCAATTCAGCTGAGAATGCTAAGCTAAAGTTTTCCCTTTAAATTTTTTTTTTTTTTGGTTTCAACAATCACTTTCTATCCACAGAACCTTTGAAACTTTTGAGGCAGTAGTAAGTTACAAGAAATTGATCAGAATGATGACAAGAGCAATTAACAAAAGCTGTAAACAGTATCTTCACATTCATTTTTAAATGAAAAAAAGTGGGCATAAATCTCAATCCAAGAGAACAAATACCCTAAAAAGAAAAAGAAAACAATATATAGGACTGTTCTTTTTCAAAGTAAATACAGTTTAAAAAGTCTAGGAATATTGATCAAGTATTGTACTGATAAGGAACAAATTCTATCAACTATAAAATAAAAACCTTCATTGACAAAAATACATAAACTCTGTTTTCACTTTTGGAAATTTATTTTTAAAAAAGGTAGAAGAAAATACCTGGAAAACTATTTTAAATATATATCTATATCTATATCTATATATCTATATTTCAAAACAATAGTTAAGGTAGACATCCAACAGCAAGTTATAGCTATTGTGAAAGATCTCAAAATTATTTTTGTGGGCATTTCCCCCAAAATAAAATATTTGAAAATACTTAATAGAGGGTTTTCTTTTAAAATGAACATAGTAATGGTATCTTCCCTGTCATGTGTGAAGACTTTTAAATGATGCATGATTTTTTAAAATTAATTGTATCTCGATATGAGATACCAGTATTTCTTATTATAAGCAGAAACGTAACTTTTTGTATGGATAATATACATACTTTTTAAGTACTATGACTTAACAAGTTCACCATTTTTTAAATGAAAGAGTACATTTATAAAAGTTCCATTTTAAAACTAAAAGTATATTCTCTAGCAGTATGTATAAATATAACATATTACTGTATGATTGTAAAACAAATCTGAAAGTGTTGCAGTAATTTAAGACCAAGAGCACTGAAACATACAGCAAATAGTTTTACATTTTTTTAATCTTTGAAAACTATATAAAACCCTATTACAGGATTTAAAACTGATCAGGTTAAGGTATGGCTAGCAGCATATTCATAATTTTGGTATATTTTATACACATCGATCACTTGATTTAAATGGAGAAATATAAATCAAATGATAATAAAACGTTTTCATTACTCCAAATAAAGTGCAAGAACAGTTCAAGTTTAAAGTTCAGTGCTCTTTACTTTGCAGAAACAAAATAAAATCCTCAAGGTTAAAATGCAAAATAAATCTTTTCCACAAAATATTTTACCTTTGGATATAGCTTTTCTTAATGTCACATGAGAAATACCTTACGCAAAACATGTACAAAACATAGAACTCAGGGTAAAACTTTAAACTTTGTAGTATTTTCCACATAATTTTCCTTTCCTCAGCTGTCTCCCCAGAATCCCCTATAACCTAAAAGTATGTAACACTTTCAGATTTGTTTAAAACACTTGCATATATCTACATAAAATAACTTCAGAGGAATCTACAACTAAGAAGTTCTAAGTAAAATAAAAGCTTCTTCCTTTAAAGTACTATACTTAAATTAAATTGCAATATACTTACACAGAGTAAAGTAGCAGCATTTTTTTCACATCCATAAAAATCATATTAAGAAGTTAGTAATAGCTCAGTTGAATCTGTAACCAGATTTTGGAAACACACTTTATGACTGAAATGCAAACCAAGGGTGTTAAGATGATGCAAAATTCAAATGGATGTAATGTACAGAATTTGTCAAAATGTAAGATTTCAAGTGACTCTAAGCAAATACACATATGAATTTTATCTTGCAAAATGAAAGGAACTAGATATGTGGTACATACAGGAAAATCACTTCCTACCGACAAACGGCTAATCGATGAATACTTCAATGATTTTCCAGTCCAAGACAATGCAACAATGTTAAGAATATGGACAAAGTGCACAAATTAAGAAAAAATTTTTTCATTTTTCTGATATTTTCTATTTTGACTTTTTTTTGTAAGTTTTCCAGAAGTCCTGGCTTGCTGGTGACTACCACTTTTTACATTTAAAAAAAAGAGAGATGTTATCTCTTAAATTACAATAAATTCCCTGGGTTAGTTATTACTTTAAACTATCTCTTATCTACAGACTGCATCAAGTATACTCTGAGAACCTTATTTCTTATATTCAAAAATATTCTAAGCTTTACAATCCTAAGTAGTCTTCAGTTTCTTGAGCATAATTTACAGATTAAAAATGAAACAGAAATAACTTAAAATGCTGATGTAACATTTTTGTATAAAATCCCTCTCAGGTAAATCTACTTCTGTATTTGGAAATAATTACAAATTTGGCTCATTTTATATACAAGAAAAATAAAGTTTATATGCAAATAATAATAGAGCAAATTAAATAAAAGAAGCTAATATGAGCTTCTACCTGGATAGGAAATCAACCAGTTTATTTTAATTTATTTAAAACTTCTCAACTTCTTCAAATCCATAACTGCTGATGACATTCACAAAGCTATACCTTTAAAGAAGGACCTAATCCTTCATGTGAAACATCATGAACAATGGATTTTCTGGACAATATAAACTACAAATTAAGCAATCTGTAAACTGCTGGATGTTCATCACATGGCTGACATTAAACAAAATTATGTTATTCACTGGTACTTTCTACAAATTCAAAAACTTGAAAATAATTTTACTTTTAAAATATTTCTTTTGACTCAACCAATTATATTACATATACCTAGTCTCTATCCAATAAAATAAATTTTGATGTAAACTTTCATATTCAATATTGTGCATTATAAAATGTAAACAAAAGCTTTATTAATGAAAACAGTAAGGAAGAAAATATGTATAAGACTTATACTTTTAATGATCATATAGAATAGAAAAGCAACTATGTTTGCTACCAATTTGTGCTCTGGTTATCTCTCAATGAAAAACTGAAAATTAAACAATTTTTATAGAAGACAATATTTATATTTCATTAACATTAATTTTAAACTTCTATTTTGCTCTTTGATGCTTTAACAAGAATCAATTTTAATCTCAGATTAGCTGCACTATGAGATTGCTTATTTCCAGGTCTAGGGAGTGGTTTCTTTCCCATCTGTGATACCATTCTAGGAACCACTCATTCATTGTCTCCTACTGTCTCAATTTGCATTGTACTCCATTACAGAAATAATTTAATTACCAAAGTATATTTATCCTTTCCTTTTTGTTTTTTAAAACTTTGAAAGGATATATATACAGATTTATATTTCTACAGAAAATATTTTGTAGGTCATTAGACTAGACTCATATAGATCATTATTGGCAACAGATGCTTGTAATTTTCCATGCGATAGCATGTGCACTAAGACTTAATTGGCTCATCACCTGAGTGTATTGGAACTGTTAGCAAATAAAGGGCATTTTAAAAAGGGAGCTGAGCATTTTACTGAAATAATGAAACATTGTTTTTTTAGCAATTTTAATTAAATAATGCAAAGATACATTTGGTTAAACATTTTATAAAAACTCAAGCAAAATTAAAAATGTAGCCAATTTTAACTTTTCTACAAATTTAACTGATAACTGTTTTGGTCAAATCCACTTTTAGCTGAATTAATGAGAACAAAAACAAAGGACATTGAAGTATTCTCCTCACCACAATGGAGGTTTTTCTCACTTTCCACACTGCATGGCCACTACATGGAAACTCCCAGAATGATGAGCAATTCAGTCATGCTCTACACTTTTCTTTTCAATGAAAAGTGATGTATCACCTTGTTTTGCTTTTGACAAAATATGAACTAAACACAAGTATATAACAACAAGAATCCAAGAGTAGCCCATACACAAGTCAACTATGTGTATGTTTTTATTATTTAAAGCCCACCATTCAGCTTATTCTAAAGATATGGTAACAAAGGGAAGGAAAGTCCAATACAGCTGTTTATAATCCAGTTCAATGACACATATATAAATATTTCAGCTTCAGACTTCGGACTTATTGCCTGTCCCTCAAAAAAGGTCAAACACTGATGGCAGATACAACGGCACGAAATCTTTTGGCATATGAAAGTTTAATACAGGAATGATCCAAGGAATAGTCCCTGCCATGTCTCAACATCCCCCTTAGTTTCTTCATTTGTCACGTGACCTGCTTAGTTCCGAAACTGTCAACTCAAGCTGGCATACACCATATACTCTGGTTTGAGTGTGTGTGTACACTCCTCAGGTAAAGCCAAAAGACTGAGGTAAAACAGTGCATGATTGCGCTAGGAAAGAACAGTATTCAGTGATGAATATCCTGTTAATGTTAACTTTCCTAAATAATCAATGAAATAAAAACGGGAAAATTTTTTTCCTCCTGGCAAAAGTTGAACTTGCTCGATTTCAGTTGTCAGAACTGGTACCACTTCTTATCTTTGTATTTTAACATCATCTATAAGAGGAAAAAACAAGAAAAACATGCTTTTAAAATTCAAGAACAATAATAACTGGTTTCTATATTTTACAAAAACATATTCTGTAACATTCTGTAGTGTTATTATATTGCTTACTCAAAATAAGTTTATTGAAAGCAATAAAAACTGTTCCATTTAGAGGAAAAATAACCATAAACATTAAGAACTAGCCTAGTAGGCCCTCAAACTTCTTAGTAATGTAACATAATTTGGGGACTGAGATAACCTACAAATACAGTGAACCAAGAAATGTAAAGTTAGAAATTTTATTGCTATTTTCTCATATTTACTGAGTTTCTACTCAGAGCCAGGCACTGAATGACACACTTTCCCTACTTGATCTTATACAATCTGTTCAACAATTCTTGAATTACACATTATTTTTCTTCCCATTTATAAATGAAGAAGAACCTGAGGTTCTCAGGGCTTCTCAAAGCTAATACCATGGTAAACCTTGGATTTAAACATAGGCAGTCTGATTTAAAAATGCATGATCCCAACTATCTCAATGTAAGTCTCCCTTAGACTCTCAAATATGGCTGAAGAACAAAATATGGACAAAGGGAAAAGCTATCAGTTTGAGATCATGCACTTTGCTAACTAGAGCGTGGACATACTGTGAAACTGACTGAAGTTCCGATATACTCCAGGAATCACACAATCAGGTGCAGGGTTATAACAACAAAAATTCTGTCCTAGATTGAAGGATGCTACCTAACCTGCATTTGAGGTACGTGTGGGCACAGTACAAGTACTTACAAAGAAACTTTGAATCTCTCTGAAGCCCTGGACAAATATCTCCCAGGTCAAGTTACTTCTTTTTCTTTTTTTTAATTAATTTTATTGGTACATTTTAGGTATACAATATAATGACATTCAATGTTGGAGATTTGTACCTTTACATAATAAATCTTAACTTTTTCCCCATTCCCCTGGCCTCCCTTCAACTCCTCTACCGCTCTCTATTTACAAAGACTTTATTTCCATTTTTTCATTTTCTCATGTTAATTCCATTCCCTTTCCTTTCCCCTACCCCTTCCATTTTACCTTTTCTTCCTGCTTTACATTATCTATTATACATTTTGATCCTTATTTACACTTTCAGTTTCTCACACCAGAGAAATTTCGGTATTTACACATGTGTGTCCTATTTATTTCACTTAAGAATATCACCTCAATGTGCATCCATTTAGCTATAAGTGTCTCTAATTTCTCATTCTTTATGACTGAGTAGTACTCCATTTCATGGAAAAAAAAACCCCACCTTTTCTTTATCCAGTCTCCAGTTGATGGGCAATTGGGCTGTTTCCATGTTTATTACAAACTGCTGCTATGAACATGGGTGCACATATATCACTGTGGTATGACTCTTTTAATTCTTTAGGGAAGATACCCAGCAGGGGAATAGCTGGGTCAAATGGGACCTCTAGTCCTAGCTCTTTGAGGTATCTCCATACTGATTTCCACAGTGGTTGAACCAGTCTACACTCCCACCAGCAGTGGAGCAGGGTTCCTCTTTCCCCACAGCCCCGCAAGCATTTGTTATTGGTTGATTTCATGATAGGAGCCATTCTTTCTGGAGTGAAGTGGAATCTCAGTGTTGTTTTCATTTGCATCTCTCTAATGACCAGTGATGTTGAACATAATTTTATATGTTTATTTGCTATTTCTACTTCTTTGTCTGAGATATGTCTGTTCATTTCAGATGCCCATTTTTGGACTGGGTCTTTAAATTTGGGAGGTCTGACTTTTTAAAGTTCTTTATAGATTCTAAACAGTAGACTCTGTCTGAGGGACAAGTGGTGAAATTTTTTTCCCGCATTGTGGGTTGTCTCTTCACACTGTTGGTGGTTCCTCTTGCTGTGCAGAAGCTTTTCAGTAAGAAGAGATCCCACTTGTTGATTGTTTGTGCTAGTTCACGGGCAACTGAGGTTTTGTTTATAAAATCTTTTCCTTGGCCAGTGTCTTCAAGAGTTCTACCTAACCTCTGTTCCAGCCAGTTCAGCGTTTCTGTTTTAATATTTAGATCTTTAATCCATTTTGATTTTAGTTTAGTGCATGGTGAGAGATATAGGTCCAGTTTTAATCTTTGGCAAGTTGAAACCCAATTTTTCCAGCACCATTTATTAAAGAGGCTATCTTTCCTCCAGTGAGGGTGTTTGGCTCCTTTGTTGAAGATGAGGTGGCTGAGTGTGTCTGAGTTGTTTCTGGGTCTTCTAATCTGTTTCACTGATCCTCGGGTCTGTTTCTTTGCCAGTGCCATGCTGTTTTTAATCACAGTAGCTTTGTAGTATAGTTTCAGGTTGGAGATTGTGATACCCCCTACCTTGTCTTTGTTGCCTAGAATTGCTTTTGCCATTCTAGGTCTCTTCTTGTACCAAATGAATTTCTAGATTGTTTCTCAAGGTCTGTGATGTTTGCTGTTGGAATTTCAATTGGGATGGCACTGAATCTATATAGCAATTTTGGAAGTATGGCCATTTTCACTATACTGGTTCTTCCTACCCAGGAGCAAGGGATGTCTTTCCATTTTCTGATATCCTGTTTAATTTCTTTTTTGCGAGTGCTATAGTTTTTAGAGCAGAGGTCTTTGATTTCTTTCGTTAGTTTGATTCCTAGGTATTTCAGTTTTTTGGATGTTAATGTATTCACATTGTTGCTCCAGTTTCTTTCTCAGTGAGTCTGCTGTTTGAGTGCAGGAAAGTTACTGATTTTTTATGTGTTGTCCTTGTATCCAGCTACTCAATGAATTTGGTTATTAAGTCTAGAACAGTTTCGGTGGAGTACTTGGGGTCTTCTATATAGAGTATCATGTCATCTGCAAATAATGACAGTTTGACTTCTTCATTTCGTATCTTTATTCGTTTTCTCTTGTCTAATTGCTGTGGCTAATGTTTCCAAAACTGTGTTGAACAGGAGTGGAGACAGTGGACATCCTTGTCTTGTTTCTGATTGTAGTGTGAAGGATTTCAGTTTTGGAACATTTAGTGTGATATTGGCTGTTGGTTTTTCATAGATGACTTTTATCAAGGTTGAGGTAGAGACCGTCTATTCCAATTTTTTGTACGGTTTTTATTATAAATGTGTGTTGGATTTTGTCGAATGCTTTTTCTGCATATATTGAGATGATCATATAGTTTTTGTCCTTGGCTTTATTAATATAGTGTATTACATTTATTGATTTGCATATGTTGAAATATCCCTGAATCCCTGGGATGAATCCCACTTGGTCAGGGTGTATGATCTTCTTGATGATTTTCTGCATTCTCTTTGCCAGTATCTTATTAAGGATTTTTTCATCTATGTTCATTAGTGAGATTGGCCTATATTTCTCTTTTTGGGTTGGATCTTTCTCTGCTTTTGGGATCAAGGTGATGCTTACTTCTGGGAATGAATTTGGGAGTATCGCTTCCCTTTCAGTTTCATTGAAGAGTTTAAATGGTAGTGGCAATAGTTCTTCTCTAAATGTCTTGTAGAATTCAGGAGTGAAGCCATCAGGACCCGAGCTTTTCTTAGTTCCTAAGTTTTTAATTACGTTTTCAATTTCATTTACTGATACTGGGTTGTTTAGAAGTGTAAGGTCTTCTTCGTTCAACTTTGGTAACTCATTTGTATCTTGGAATCTGTCCATTCCTTCTGTGTTTTCCACCTTATTGGTATATAGATTCTCAAAGCAGGTATTAATGATTCTCTGGATTTCTGCTGGGTCCATTGTAATTTCACCCTTTTCATTCCCAATTGTATGGATTTGGGCCTTTTCTTTCCTTTTTTGATAAGGTTGGCTAAGGGTTTGTCAATTTTGTTTATTCTTTCCAAGAATCAACTCTTTGCTTCATTGATTTTTTTGTATCATTCTCTTGGTCTCCATTGCATTGATTTCTGCTCTGCTGTTCATAATTTCATCCCTTGTATGAACTTTGGGTTTGTCCTGCTCTTCTTTTTTTAGAAGTCTGAGGTTTAACATCAGGATTTTTTATTTGAGCTTGCTCTGTTTTCCCAATGAATATTCACTGCTATAAGTTTCCCTCGTAAAACTGTTTTCATTGTGTCCCATAGATTTTGATATGTTGTATTTACATTGTCATTTAATTGTAGAAACTGTCTGATTTCTTTTAATTTCCTCTATGACCCATTATTTATTCAGAAGTGCGCTGTTCAATTTCCATGTGTTTATGAAATTCTTGTGGTTTCTTTTGCTACTGATCTCCAATTTCATTGTACTGTGGTCTGATAAAACATAGGGGATAACTGATTCCTCCTCTGCACTTACTTAAACATGTTCTATGAGCAAGTATGTGGTCTATTTTGGAGAATGACCCATGTACAGCTGAAAAGAATGCGTATTCTGATTTTGTGGGGTGGAACACTCTGTAAACATGTTAAGTTATTTGTTCAAGAGATTGACTGAGTTTTACTATTCTGTTGCTTATTATGTGTCTAGTGGGTCTATTTGTGACAGTGGGGTGTTGAGGTCCCCCACTACTATTGTATTAATGCTTATTTGATTTTTTATGTCCATTAGTATTTGTTTCATATAGTTGGGTGCACTAGTATTTGGTGTATATATATTAATGATTGTCATCTCTTCCTCTTGGATTGTTCCCTTTACAAGGATGTAGTATCTTTCTTTGTGCCTATTAGTGCTAGTCTGAAATCCAGTTGATCTGCAAATAGAATAGTTACTCCTGCTTTTTTTCAGGTTCCTGTTGCATGGAGTATTGTTTTCTACCCTGTAATTTTCAGTCTATGAGTTTCTTTTTGAATTAAGTATGCTTTTTGTATGAAGCATATTGTTGGATCTTGCTTGACTCATTCTGCCAGTCTATTTCTTTTGATTGGTGACTTGAGATCATTAACGTTGATGGTTATAACTGATATGTAGTGACTTATCTTTGTCATGACTTTTTCTTTTTGTTGGATTCTCCCATTTTGCATTTAATTTCTTGTTGTGCCACATGGATTCATTCTGCTGGGCTTCCTGGGGTTGTGAATCTCATTGTCTTTTCCTAGGATATTGTTTAAAATTTTCTAGAGTGCTGTTTTGGTGTTCAGGAAGTTCTTCAGGTGCTCTTTGTCATGAAAGTATCTTATTTCTCCATGCATTTTCAAAGATAGTTTTGGAGGGTACATCAATCTGGGTTGGAGGCTGTTTTCCTTTAGGGCTTGAAATATGTCACTCCACACTCTTCTTGCCTTGAGGGTTTGTGTTGAGAAGTCTGCTGTGACTTTGATGGGCTTTCCTTTGTAGGTGATTTGTTTCTTTTGTCTAATTGCTTGTAGAATTTTGTTCTTCTGTTGAGTTTCTGGAATCTTTTTTTTTCTTAAATTCTTTTATTGGTACATTTTAGGTATACAATACATTTACATTTATCATTGGATACTTGTACCTGTACATGATATATCGATTATGTTTTCCCCATTCCTTGTCCACCCTTCCCTATTTACAAAGACTTTGTTTTCCTTTTTTCCTTTTCTCATAATTTTTCCTTTCCCTTATTTCCTTTCCCCTTTCCCTCCTGGGTTTCTGGAATTTTAACTATTATATGCCTAGGTGTAGATTTTTTCTGATCATGGCTAGTTGAAATCCTATATGCCTCACTTATCTGATGTCAAGTTATTTCCCTCTACTTGGGAAGTTTTGGCATTACTTCTGTGAACAGATTTTTATGTTGTTTGCACTCTCTCCTGTTTTTTCATTGACTTTGATCAGTCTTATGTTATTCTTCTGTGCATCATCTAGCAGCTGCTGGATTGATTTGTCATGGTCCCTTACTATTTTTAAGAAATTTTTCCTTTCCTGGTCACTACTTGCCATCCTGTCTTCTACATCTGAAATTCTGTCCTCACATTGGCTCATTCTGCTGCATAAACTTGGCTCATTCTGCTGCATAAACTTTCAATGGAGTTTTTAATCTCCTGGAAATCTGTTTGCATCTGTTTATGGATTTCATTTGTTTCCTATGTTGGGATTCCATCATGTTCCTTAGGTCCTCTATTTTTTCTTATCTGTGCCTGCTCTAGATTCATTAACCATGTCTTGCACTATGGATACAATGTCTGTTGTTATCTGATAAATTATTTCTGCTTTCACTTTTTCCAGATCCTCTTGTTGCCAGTTCAGGGAGTCCAGGTGGTTGAGTATCAGATTGTTCCATCTTGTTGTCCTTTGGGGTTGCCTTAAGTGATCTGGAAGTCTGGTTTTGAGACTTGTTTACATGTCTTATCATTTCAACAGATGCAGCCTGCTGCACCTTTGAGATGACTTTTTCTTCACCCAGTGGCCTTCAATTCTCAGCAAGCCACTGAGCACTCTGCTGCTCACCACTGCACCAATTCCTGGGTTCAGAGGGGTGGCCTTCTAGATCCCTGTGATGTCCTGTTGTCCATTTGGGGTTCTGGCTGGGGCTGGTGTGTAGTTGGGATGGTATCTAGGCGTGTCTCTGGTAGGGCCTGCCCACCTACATGGCTGTTTTCTGGGAGGGCCTTTGGCTGGCAGCTGTGCACCTCAGTTGCTGGTGTCTGGGCGGGCTTGTGGCTAAGGTCTGGGTGCACTTACCAATGGTATTGGGGCAGGCCTCTGGCTGTTGCTTATGTGCCTGTGCAGCTCTTTTCCAGGTGGGTCCTTGGGTGGGGCCTGTGGGCCCAGGTGGCTGTGGGCAGGGTGGGGCCCTGACTAGAAGGCCTGCAGCCACATAGCTCTGGTCTACACTGGCTTCTCAGTGGAATCTGTGTGCACTTACCGACAGTATTGGGGCAGGCCTCTGGCTGTTGCTTGTGTGCCTCTGCACCAATTTTTCAGGTGGGTCTTTGGCTGGTGCTTGTGGGCCCAAGCAGCTGGGCTCGGGGTGGGGCCCTGTGTGGACCTGCCTGCAGCAGCACCGCTCTGGTCCACACTGCCAGGTCAAGTTACTTCTTTTATGCATTCTAGGTTTCAGCATTTTTGAGTAAAGAGATGACTTTTGGTTGAAATGTTTAAAGGAAAGATACTACCATAGTGGATGCTCAAATCTAAAAATAACTTTGATATGGTTCCTTCAAACAACAAACTCAAAATATCCTCAAGCTAAGAACTAAATATGGGTATCTCAGTCCAAAGCATGGCAGATGTGTGAAAAAACGGAAAGTGTATTTTACATCAAGGCTTTTAAATTCAGTTTTTAGAGAGTACTATGTTAGTTATAAAAACATGTCAGAGGGTTGTTTAGGGCTCCTACTCTGTTTCTGAGCTCCCCATGACTTCTAAGATCCATCAAGATGAATTCACTGCAAAAGACACCCTGCTATCCATCCATGTGAACTGGTCCATGAGACAGACTTTGTGTTGTTTATTTGAATCAGATGTTTGCCAATTTCAGTTATTTAGATCTATCTGAGAGAATCACAGAGGCAAATTATTCCTTTTCTAAGACAAGGTGGTAGTACGTTATGAGGAACTAAGGCAAATTAGCATTGTTACTGTATTCCCTAAGAAACAGTTACAAAACTGCTGGCATTATTTATAAAGATCCAGATGACCAGGTCCCTTCAGAATTTTTAAATTTCAGTAAGAGAGCAAAGGCTTGTAAGATATGCTTGTAATGGTCCCCTCTGGTGATAAAAATTAGAAATTTGTGATTATACAACAGATTTCATGTGTAGAAATATAATAGCTACAACAATTTTCATACTAGCTTTATGTAAGTTTCTTCTGTTAATCTATTTGATGGACATACCTCATGGGCATGTTTAGAAAATGCATCTGCACTTGATAACATAGCTGCTGTTCTTTCTTCCAAGTCACCAAGCTTCTGCCCTCTTTCATCTAGTGCCAAACGAGCTCGTGCCAATTCACCAACAACTCCAGATGCTGCCCCCTTCACACCTTCGATGCCACCAGGGCCAGGAATATGCTGTGCAAGACTTCTCGAAGCCTTTCCTGAGGATGACTCTCCAACTAGTTGGATTGATAAATATAAAAAGTAACACAAATAGTGAAAATTCTGTAAGTATAAAATCTTACTATATGATAATACTGAAGTATAATTTTGAATTGAGTGACAATTAGAATATTAATACATAGTTGTCTTTAATAAATATTTTGCTTGTATCACGATGGTCTAAATAATTTCAAGATACTTTTTTGAATATGCAAAAATAACATTGTACATAAATAATCCTATGCTAGTTCATACTGCAGTACTTCTGCAAAAAGGAGTTGGAAATTATTTGCTGAAATGAATCAGTGACTTCAAACAACATGGCCATTGGTACATTGACATTAGTTTATACAGTTAAAAATTACTCTTAAGGGATCACAATATTAAAGATTATTAACCTAAAGCTATTTAACTTTATAAATATATAGATTTAAGCTTAAAAATACAATTTTGATTTTACTTGACACTTTTAATGACTATGCTTAGGTTCAGAAGAAAAATGAATTTATTAAGTATTCATTTTTAGTCTTCATAATCTATAGATATGCTGCTTCCTTTTCATGTCACTTACCAAAAGGATCAAATTTTTCCTTCAGAACATCTTAGGATTCACTGTTTTCCTTCCATAATCCATTTATTCCATAATCCAGCTCCTGATTACCTAACACCCAGATAACTCCAAGTCTTATTCCATATTCATTCCCTCTTCCTTCCTTCAGCTTACATTTCTTTCCTTCCTTTTCTTCCTCTTCCCTTTCACTTCCTTCCTCCCCTTCCTTCTCTTTTTTTCCCTTAACCCTTCCCCTCTCCTTCCTTACTTTTCTCTTTAATATAATTCACATACCATAAAATTGGCCCTTAAGGTAAACATTCAGTGACATTTAATTTATTCACATGATTATGGAAACATCACCACTACCTAATTTCAGAACATTTCAACATTTCAAAAGAAACCCTATGCCTGTTAACAATCACTTTCCATTCCTCCTTTCCCAGTCTTTGCCAATCAGTAATCTATTTTATCTCTATATATTTACCTATTCTTAATATTTTACATAAATGGATTCATACAGCATGTTTCGTGGCTGAATTCTTTCACTGAAAATAATGTTATCAAGGTTCACTTATATAATGTTGTAGCAAGTATCAGTACATCTCTTTTTATAGCTGAATAATGTATCATTTAATGATACATTTTGCTTATCCATTCATCAGTTCATGGACATTGGGGCTCTTTATTTTTTGCTATTATGAATAATGGTATGATGACCATTTGTATAAGTTTTTGGGTCCAAATGTTTTCAATTCTCTTGGGTATATGCTCAGAAATGGAATTACTGAATTCTTAAGAGTAATTTTTAAGTATATAAATTAATGTCATATAGTTAATTCTATGTTTAACTTTTTGAGGAACTCTGGGACAATTTTAAGAGAATGTACAACTTTTTATTCCCACCTGCAAGACATGAAGAGTTCTAATTTCTTCACATCTGCCAATGCTTGTTACCATGCATCTTTTGACAGCCATCCTAGTAAGTTTGAAGCTGTATCTCATTGTGGTTTCAATTTGCATTTCCTGAGTGACAAATGATGTTGAGCATCTTTTCATGTGGTTATTGATCAGTAGTATACTTTCTTTGGAGAAATATCTATTCAAACCTTCTGCCCATTTAAAAATTAGGCTACTTGTCTTTTTATTCAAGTTATAAAAGTATTCTTTACATACTTAGATACTAAGTCTTATTAGATATCAGATATAGAATTTGCAAATTTTAATCACTTTTTGGATTATTCTTTTTAGTTTCTTGAAATTTTTTTGAAGCACAAAGTTTTAAATTTGGATTAGTTTACATTTATCTCTTTATTTCTGTTTGCTTCTGATTTAGGTACCATACCTGAGAAACGACTGCCTAATCCAAGGTCAAAGAAGATTTTTATCTATGTCTTCAAAGAGTTTTATATTTTAGCTCTTAGACTGAAATCTTTAAAACAGTTTGAATTTTTGTGTATGCTGTGAAGTTGTAACCCAACTCTTTTTAAAGTGTGGATATTCAGTTCCCAACATCATTTTTGAAACCAGACATTCTTTCACACTGCATTTTCTTGGCATCCTTGTAAAAATTAATTTATTATAAATGTTACAAGATTTATTTCTGGACTTTTGATTCTACTCCATCAATCCATATATCTATCATTATGCTAGCACTCCACTGTCTTGATGTCTACAGCTTTGTGGTAAGTTCTGAAATTGCAATTTGAGTCTTCTAGGATTTTTCTTCATCAAGATTTTTGGTTGGTTGGTTGGGCTATTTTGTATTCATGTCTTTTCATAAGAATCTTAGAAATAGCTTCTTGTTTTATGCAAAGACCCAACAGGGATTTTGATAGGGATTAAATATGTAGATCAATTTGGAGAATAATTATACCTTAACAATAGTTCTTCCAGTGAATGAACATGAGATGCTGGTGCATTTACTTAGGTCTTAATTTCTTTAAATGATATTTTGAAGTTTTTAGTGCATACATCTTTCACTTCTATCAAATTATTTCTAAGTGGTCTATCTTTTTGTGCTATTATAAATAGAACTGTTTTCTTAATTTCATTTTTGGATTATTCATTCCTAGCATATAGAAATATCACTGATTTTGGAGGGTGTGAATATCTTACGCTCTTCTGCAACATTATATCATATGCAAATAGAGACAGTTTTATGCCTTCCATTCCAATCTGCATGTCTTTTACTTCCTTTTCTTGCCTAATTGTTCAGGTTAGAACTAGCACAATGTTGGACTGAAGTGATCAGAACCCTTTGAAAAACTTCCATATACTATTTTCAATGAGTAAAAAACTTCCATATACTATTTTAAATGAGCCATATTTTTAGGGGAAGAATTTTTGATTATGTATATTATATGGACACACATACATGACATCTTGTGTTGAATCTTTCTATTCCATAAACATAGTGTATGCTTCCTTTTGAGTCTCCTTTAATGTCTCTTAACAAAGTTTTTAATTTTTTAATATTCCCCATGGGGGTCCTGAACATTTTCTGTTAATATTTATTTCCAAGTATTTTATTTAACTTTGGTGCCGGGTCCAGGGTCTTGTGCATGGGCACTCTACCACTAAGCTACATGCCTGAACAATTTAAAAAGGAAAATCTGTGGAAGTCTTATAGGCAGCTAAGTTAAACACCAATTGGAAGTCAGACAGGGACAAGACCTTGAGAGTCAGTGCAAAAGATGAGAACATACCAAAACTGTGGCTGGAGGTGCATACTTTGAAGGCCAGGCCTCAAGATAAAGATGCAATAACTATGCCTACATGCCTTCCTGAGAGATAAACGATAACTTGAGATTGTACTGTTATTGGTAACACATGGTCCAGTGAAGTCCAGACAGACACTGGTCACCCAGGTGGGTGATCAGAACATCTGGACCATCCCTTCCCAAAAATACCTTTCTTCTTTCCATATACCCTTGCTATGTGACTAGCTTTCCTAGTGGATCAATACTAGCTAAATGACTATGCTTGTAATCCTATAGGTTGATTGTAGTTTGATCCACATTTTACCTACATTGTGCCTTTGGTGTATAAATTATTCCTGACAAAGGGCCTCAGTGGCAACCCACTTTTGGGAACCCTCCTATCTCTCAGGAGCTATGCCTCAATAAATCTTTCCTATTCTTAATCTCTGTTGTCCTTTGGAATTCATTTTTTGATTTCAGGGGACACAAACTCAGCACATTTTACATCTAGCAAGTTGAAAGTTATATTTCTCCTATATCAGTAGGAAGAAAAATGCCACCCTTCCCTTGAAAAGCGGCCATATTCTAATCCCTGGAACCCATGAATATGTTGCCTTATAATGGGAAAGAGACTTTACAGATATGACTGAATTAAGGACCTAGAAATGGAGAGATTATCCTGCATTATCTAGGTAAGCCCAATCTAAACACACAAGTCCTTAAAAGCCAAGTGCTTTTCTAGCTGTAGGGGAAAAAAAGAGGAAGAGAGAAAGGGAAAGGGAGAAGGAGGTATGGGACTTCAGAAAAATATAGATGCAAAGGGACCAAGAGTGTAGGGATACAGATGACCTCTACAAGCTAAAAAGGCAAAGAAACAAAACTCTGCCCTAAAGCCTCTAAAAAATATGCCCTGGCAACACCAGTAAGACCAATGTTGATTTCTAATCTATAGAATGCAAGGTAGTAAAAACTGAGTTGTTTTAAGCCAGTAAGTTTGTGATAATTGTTACAGCAGTAACAGAAAACTAATGAAAATAATTTTTTAATTCTCATTTTTATTAATACAATATAAACAAATTTAAATTTATTTTTCTGTACTGATTATACCCAGTAAGTCTGCTAAACTTTATTATTTCTAAGAATTTAGCTATAGATTCTTTCAGATTTTCTAATGAAAATGTGACTTGTTTTGTTTTCTCTTTCCAATTATTGTAACGTTTAGTTTTTCTCATCTTTCTATACCCTCTAGGGACCTCAATATACTGTAGTAAATGCATGTAGTAAGTGAATGCATGTAGTAAGTAAAGATAATGTGTATTCTTGATCTCAAAGGTAAAGTTTTTATTACCTTTTAATGTCTGTAATTGTGATATTTGCTGTTGGGTTTGGCAGCTAAATATTGTATAATACTTTGTAGTTACAATTTTATCAACTCACGTTTTAGGAGTCTCTGTCATAAATGGATAATGAATTTTAACTCCTGTCTTTCTTGCATTTGTGGGAGTGGCCAGGTGATTTTTCTCCCTAATCTGTTAAATATGGTAAATTACTGATTGATCTTTTCTTCTGTAAAGGTAAGTCAATTGTGAATTCTTGGTACAAACCAAACATGAGGTTGGTATATTGCCTTTATTACTAAATATTAGATATGACAGAGTAATACTCCAATTTAATTTTTGTATCTATATTCATGAGTAATATTTATCTTTTTTCCCCCTTTTTTGTACTAGTTTGGCTTTTAGTATTGAAGGTTATAATAACCTCACAAAATTTTTCTTTTACTATTTTCTTAGAGTTTATACAGAAGTTCAATTATATTTTCTCTAAATATCTGGTAGAACTTACTAGTGAAGCCCATTTTGTGGCAGGAGTTTACTTGTAGAAAAGTATGAAGTAACAGTTTCAATATTGAATAGTTGTAGTGCTATTCAGATCTTTATTACTGTTTTTGTACACTGTTATATGGTGATTTATTTCAGCAAAATTTTCAAAAATTTTACTGTACAGTTATTTTTCAAAATGGTAATAGTGATACCTTTTTTTTTCATTTCTTTTTTTATTTGTGCCTTTCTTTGTTTTTGCTTGGTTTCACCAGAGGTTTATTAGTTTTACTTTTTTGCTTAAAAATCAATTTTTTACTTTTGTTGCATAGTTAATATACTGAAATCAAATCCCCAATGTGATGGTGGAGGTGGGACATTTGAGAGGAACTTAGCCCTCATGAATGGGATTAGTGCCTCTATAAGGATCAGAGAGCTAGCTTGTTCTCTTTCCCCACTGAAGATACAGGAAGAAGTACTTATGCACATATTATTACTTTCTTTCAAAATCATTGTTTTCTACCTCTCTGACATTCCAGAGGATTATATTCCTTCTATCTGAAGTACACTCTTTAGAATTCCCTTTAGTGTGGTAGCAATGCTTATTTATTTGTTCATTTGCCTAAAAGTATCTTAATCTAAAATTCTATATGAAATGAAAATACCTTTCAATAATTAGTCAGTACATAGATTATCCTATCATATATTGAGAAGCCAGTTATCAGTCTATAATTTTTCTTTGTTGGTTTGTTTTGTTTTTGAGACCGGGTCTTGCTATGCAGCTCAGACTGGCCTTGAACTCACTATGTAGTCCAGGCTGGCCTTGAACTCATGGCAATCCTCCTGCCTCAGCCTCTCAAAGTGCTGTGATTACAAGCATGCACCACCACATCTGGCTCAATCTATAGCTTTTTCAAAGGCATCTATCATTTTTCTCTAGCCACTTTAAAGACTTTCTGTCTTTAGTGTATATTTTCATAAGATACATCTACTTGAGAAGTTTAAACATATCTTTGAAACTTAATATTTATTTTTAAAATGTTTCAGGCATATTTCACTATACTGCATACTGATTCTTCTTCATGCTCTTATTTCACTCTTGAGATCTAAACATGTTATATATTCTCAGAGCAATTTCTATTTTTAAATCCTGTCTTCTGTATTTTACTTTTTTGTTTCTTTGTGCTATACTTTGGAAGATTTCTTCTGACTAATATTTAAGTTATATAATTCTCTTACTTTGTATTTAACATTCATCTGAAGAATTTTTTTTTTTTATGGGTACTGGGGATCAAGGGACCTTGAACTTGGGAGGCAGGCGGTGGAACCACTGAGCTAAATCCCCAGCCCTCATCTGAAGAATTTTTAACAATCATTTTTTCAATCTTTCAGTTCTAGAAATCCATTTTAGTTTTCCTTTTCCATCTACTTTACTGATTTTTATTATCTTCAGTTATCTGATAAAATGTCCAGGCATAATACTTATCCTCTTGAACATAAATAGATTGACCAAGCCAAATCCAAAACTCCAAAATCCAAAACTTTCTGAATGCTAACATGACACTCCAAAAATTTCAGATTTTTGAGCATTCCAGATTACAATTATTTTTAATTAGAGATGCTCAACTGGTAAATTTTATGCAAATATTCACATGTACTACAAGATCTACATGAGCCTTTGGAGGCTAGGAAAAGAATATTATGTCATGGATCTTAGGTATCTCCTAAGGACTCATGTGTTGAAGGCTTGGTGTCTCAATTGATAGTGCTGTAGTAATGATTAGGAGGTGGAGCCTAACAGCGGGAGGATGGGTCACTTAGGGCTTGCCCTTGAAAAGGATACTAAGACCATGGCTTTCCATTCATTTCCACTAATTTCTCCTTACCGTGAGGTGAGCAGATTTGCTTTACCATATACCATCTACCCCATATGCCATATGCCCCATCCTAATGTTCTGCTTTCCAACATGCTCAAAAACAACAAGATCAACCCAACCATAGACCGAAACCTCTGAATGTTTGAGCCAAACTAAATCTTTCTTCTAAGTTTATTTTCTTGGAAATCTGATTTAACATATTCATCAGTGAAAGACAATCACAGGAATAAAATAATGAAGATGACTTTTAACATAAATAAAATATTCTCTGAATTATTCATTCAAAGTTGTGAATATTTCTTTTCCACATTCTGATTTTGGTTCCCTGGAGAAATATTTTTCTGATTTGGGAGAGAATGACAAAATATTTCTAAGTATTCTGTTAAAATGAGGATATATTAATTATTGAGACAAAGAGAAAAAGTGAACATATATTATACATGTAAAAACTTATATGGGTTGAATGTTTCTACCTTAAAGATAAATTAAACAAATCAACTTACATAGCTCTTCTCTATCAAGAGACTGTGCACCACCTCCAAATAAGCCTTTAAAGAATCCCCTGTTTGGTGCTTCAGGTGTTTCTACAGGAGTGAAGAGTTCACCTAACATTTCCTTCAAAATCAAAACAAATTTTCATTGTTAAAGCTTCAGGGAAACTAAATTATGATTAACAAAACCATTTCTGTAAACTCTAATATAATACAGTCAATTAACTGTTGCAATTCACAATTAATGAGCATATGTCAAATGATCAGATTTGGTAGTACTGACTGATTCAAAAAGTATGTTTTTAAGACTTAGTGCCCACTAGATTATATTTCCTTTGCATTTCAGGTAAAGATGATATTTCTGCTTAGGCCATAAGGAGATTTTTAATTCTCAAATCAAAATTTTCACGTAACTCAGTAAGAACTGATAATTAGGTTAATGATTAGGTCTTCTTATATTAGAAAGAAGAAAATTTTCTACTAGCAGGTCAAGAAGTCCTGTGTAACAGTATCGCTTCTCAGCCTTTTGGCTAAGATCAAGTGAAGAAGTCCTGTGTAATAATAGTAATATAAAGTTTTAGAATTATAACCCCTACCTGAGTCAGAAAATTAGTGATTTAAAAACAGTAATTTCCTTTTTGCATGAACATATACTAGGCAAAGAATTATACCTGGAATTTCAGAAATCTACTAGGAAGATGGGAAGGGTTTGTTTTACTCTGTCAGATTTTCCTGAAATTGTCAACAATATACAGAGAAGGAAGACAGATTCTATAAGAGGATGGTAGCAACATTATTTACAAAGAAGTTTCAGAAAGGTATAAAAGTAGTTACTACATATAGAAGTAGTCACTATATAAAGGCCAAGTACACTATTAGCTCTAGGTAGGAGTTCTTCTGTACTCTTGTATTACAGTTGGGGTGAAAATAGGTACTTTTCATGTTTCTTCTTCAGGGTTGGGCTAAGAAAGTTAATAAAGGATGTACAAAGGTTTTACTTTCAAATATATCCATATTAATATCTTTGCAGCCAGATTGTAATAGGAGAAAATAACTAACATTACATGGAACAGAATTTCATTTACAATACTGAAATGGATTGAAATCCTCAGATTTTTATTTTCTTCCCTCTGGACTGCTTTAAAGTAGAGTAAACCTGAAATAAAAGTAGAGTAAACCTGAAATAAAATCTTCAGGAATTCAACAAATCAAACCTATTAAAACTTACCATACAACATACTGAATCTATTATTATACTGAAATTTATAGTAGACCCTATGTCAAGGATAATTTTAGGCATATTTCCAACTTTTTAAAACTGTATTTCAAAGATCCTAATTTAAAGCAAATATTAAATTGATATAACAATAATGGCAACACAGCTACCATTTGAGAGTCTGTTGTGCTAAATCAAAAGTGATATAAATGGTGATAGTAAAGAGATTTGCTTTTAAGCTTTACCTCATTTTAAAACTGTGATTTATATTTCTTAATCTAATTGGTGTTTAATGAGCTTATGATTATATAAGCATAAAGAATTTTAAAAAAATCAATCATACCTATGAGGAATATTCTAGGTAATAGAATAAAAATAAATTCTGGAACCATATAGCTCTGGGTTATATTCTCACCTGTTTCTTTTACTAGCAGAGGAATCTTACAAAAATGAGTCTCTCCAGAGAAATGTTTTCTTCAACTTTAAAAACTGGGTTCTTTGGAACATTAGTAAGATTAACGATAATAAACATATGAGTGCCTACAGTAGACACTAATGATATACATACAAAAACCGAAAAACATCTTTTCATATAGGAAGGATTTCTTAGTGAAGTTTGAAAATATGCAGGTCGTTTGTCAATAGATTAACCTCATAAACAGACATCTTTAAAGGCAGTTCAACAGTAAATGTTAGATGTTTTTGGAAGTATCTATAATCTTAGTATTAATATCTGGGGGAAATATTAAATAATACCTCTAAGTATTTTTTACTTGTATTTAAATAAGTTTCAGCTACAATTAAATTTAATATTTAGGATCAATAATGTTAGTAAATGTTGATGAAAGTAGATTTGTATTTTTAAATCTTCCTATATGCATAATAAATTATATTTATCAAACAGTACCTGTGACCGTTTTCTTCTCTTTTTTGTGGATTTTCTGTGGATTGAACCCAGAGCCTTCATACTGAGCTATATCCTCAGTGCCTATTTTACATTTTATTCTGAGACAGGGACTTGTTAAATTGCTAAACTGTCTAAGGTGGGCTCAAACTTCTTGCCTCAGTCTCTCACTGGCCTGGGATGACAGGCCTGAGTCACCAACCAACCTCGTTTACCTGTGACTATCTCATCTAAAATATGAATATAGAGTAAAAAGTATGTTTGTCTTATTTTAGATCTTTACATCTCACTTGTCTTATATGCGAGCTAATCAGCTTAGGTAATAAAATGTAGGATCAATTTCATGAATGTGTCAATATATGGGTTTTGGTTATCATTGTAAACTCTTTTATAGTACATCAAATAACACTGATTCTAATAATTCTGATTAAGAAGACTCTATTAGAATTGAGTCTGGAAAAATAAATATCTCCAAGATAAGTACAGCAGTAAATTTCATACAGAATGTGTATGCTTAAGAAAACTACTAGTTTATCAATTATTTTTAAAATGAGTACCTGGGGTTTTATTTATAAATTATAATCTCAAGGTACTTAGCAAAGTTATTAACCTAATTGTTTAAACTGAATTAATTGGTAATTTTCATTTATATGATTGTGGTAAGCTTTAAAGCTTACAAATGAATCAAATTAGTTTGAAAAAATAAGTTTTTTGTTTTCTCTTTACAGTATGATTAGAATATTACTATACAATGGAATTTAAACATTTCAATCTATAAATACGTACTTTTAACTGCCTCTTAATCATAAAAATTCTTAAGCCCATTAATTTTTGGAAGAGCTTTTTTGAAGTATAACTGAAGTACCAAAACTGTACATAAAGTATATGACTTGGTAAGTAGCCCTTTATATAAACCCATGAAATCTTCACCATAATCTAGAGTGTGAACGTTATCTATCATTCTCAAGTTTCCTTGTGTCCTTTTGTAAAACCTTTTCTCAATTCTCTTCTCCATCCTCAATAACTGCTTGTGTGCTTTCCTCATTACAGATTCATCTGCACTTTTTTGAGCTTTATATGAAAGGAATTATGTAATATGTACCCTTTATAAGCTTGCTTCTTTTACTCAACATAGTTACTCTGTGACTCAACAATGCTGCTGATTGAATCTGTAGTTTATTTATTTTTATAGCTGAGTAATATGCCCTTGTATGAATATACAGCAATTTATATCAATTCATCTGCTGAGGGTATCTAGATGGTTTGAACGTTTTGGTTATTACAAAAAAACAGCTATATAAATTTCCTTTTGCTTTAAGAAAAAAATATAAAACAGTTTATGAGTAGAATGGCTGGAGCATTGATTCACAAATGTTTAACTACACTGCAGGAGAGTTCTGTATCCTTTACAACCTTGCTCAAAACTAGACATGGTATTCTTTTTAATTTTAACCATTCCAATAGGTGTTTAATGAAATCACTGAGGTTTTAATTTATAATTCCCTAATGATGAATGATGCTGAGCATCTTTTCAAGATAAAGTATCCCTTAAGAGTATTTTGCTCATATTTTTATTTGATTGTCTTTCATCTATTGGGCTTTAGGAGTTTCTTTTGTGGCCCCCATTCCTTTTTTTTAACTGGTTACAGAGATTAATGGGTTTAACTTTGGCATTTATATATGCATATAACATCCTTTATCACTTTCACACCCCCCATTATCCTTCTTCCCTTGCCCTCCCTTTGAGTCTCTTATATATTCAAGAGACAAGATTATACTAGATACATACTTTGCCAATGTTTTATTCTAGTCTGTGGCTTATCTTTTCTAATTTGTCTACTGAAGAGCAAAAGTGTAAAATTTTGTTAAAGTTATCAATTGTTCTTTTAAAGATGGTATTTCTGGTGTCACAGCTAAAAAAATCTTTGGTAATAAAGATTTTCTTTTATGTTTCTTTATGGAAGTTTTATAGTTTTGGGGTTTACATATAGGTCCAAAATCCACTGTGAATAAATTTTTGTACGTGTATGAAAGGTTTTTTTCATTTTGGATTTTAGTAGCTCCAGAAGCACTTACTGAAACAGCAATGTCTCTCCATTTCATCGCTGATCCACTGACCTAATTTCCTATCTTGATGCCAACATCATTTTGTTTTGATTACTGTAACTTTATAATTCTTAAAATACGTAGTGTTAACTCATCAATTTTGTTCTTTTTCAGAGTTATTTTTGCCTATTTTAATTCTCTTGCATTTACATATGAATTTTAGAATAAATTTGTGAATTGCTACAACAAAAAAAAATCCCATTAGGATTCTGATTGGATTGTCTTAAGTCTACAGGTCAATTTTGGAAGAATCAGTATCTTAACCATACTGATTTTTTGGCTCTATGAACAAAGTATGTATCTCTATTTAGATTTTAATGTATTTCTTTCATTCATTCTTTGTAGTTTTTCAGTGTAGAAATATTTCACATTGTCAGATTTATCCAAAAGTATTTCATATTTTTATTACTACTGAAAATGATATTGCTTTTTAAAATATCAGCTTCTAAATGTTTACCATTACTATATATAAATGAAATTATTTTTGTATATTCCTCTCATATCCTCCATCTTTGCAAAACTCTGGTAGCTCTTTGGGTAGATTTTATCAGATTTCCCATGTAGATGACCATGTCATTTATAAACAAAGAGTTTTAACTTTTCCCTTTCCAACGCTGATTCCCTTCCTCCCTTCTTTCTCTAAATGTACTAGTTAGAATCTTAAAAACAACACTGAATTCAAATGATGAGAGTGAACATCCTTTTCTAACTTTAAAAAGAAAAAGTTCAGTATTTCATCCTTAAGTATTACGTTAGGCATAGTTTTTCTTAGATGTTCTTTACATTCCCTTCTATTTCTTGTTTGCTGAGATATTTTTAAAATCAGGAACGGATGATAGATTTTCTCAAATGCTCTTCATTTTTTTTAGTTTCTTGACACAATGAATTACAATGGTTTTCAAATGTTAAATGAACTGTTTTCCTGGGATAAATCTCACTAAACCATTACATATTATCCTTGTTATACTGCTGAAATGAATTTTGCTTAGAAGTTTTTGCGTTTATTTTTGTATGGGATATTGGTTTATATGTAGGTTCCTTTTCAGTTTTGGTGGAGATTAATACCTGTTTCATAGAATAAGTTGTGTAGCATTTCTAGGATTCAATTTTTGCAATAGTTGTACAGAAATAGTACTAGTTCTACCTGAATTATTATTATTATTATTTTTGGTACCAGGGATCAAACTGGGGTCCTTGTGCTTGCCAGGCAGGTGGCAGAACCACTGAGCTAAATCCCCTACCTGAATTATTGAGAGAGTTCAAAAGACAACCATTCGGGCCTGAAACTTTTCATTGGTCCCAAGTTGCAACCTCAGTTTCAATTTCTTTAATAAAAATAGGATGCACCAGGTTAAGTTTGATAATCTGCGTCTTTAAAAGAATTTGACTATTTCATCTAAGTTGTAAAATTTATTGACATAAAATTGTTCATAATATCTCATTATTCATTTAATGTCTATACAATATATCTAGTAATGATGCTTCTCTTATCCCTGACACTGGTAATCTGTAACTTCTCTTCATAATCAGTCTAGCTTAAGTAGAATTACACTGTATTGATTCTCTCAAATACCCGGCTCTTGGTTTCATTAATGTTTTCCTGTTTTTGTGTTTTCTGTTTCAATGATTACCCTTTGGATATTATTTTCTTTGTTTCTGTTAACTGGGTTCAAATTGCTTTTTTTTTAAGGTGAAAACTGAGGCCACTACACCTTGAGACTTTTTTCCTTTTCTAGTACAGGATTTTAGTGCTATAAATTTGCCCCTATATCTAAACACTCAGTTATTTTTCCCTATTGTTACATTTTCAAATTCACTGATCTTTTCTTCTGCAATGTTAAAATTGATGTTAATATCATTCAGTATGTTTTTCATGTCAAGTACTGCAACTTCTCACTTCCAGAATTCTTTGATCTTTCACACCTTCCACATCTCTAACTTTCTGAATATCCAGAATACAGCAATAATACTGGTTTCATACACTTCTGTGTGAATTCTAACATTTATGTTCATTCTGCTTGGATTAACATCCTCATTATGGATCTTATTTTCACTGAACCATTACATACTATCCTTCTGTTATATTGCTGAACTGAATTTTGCTTAGAAGTTCTGCATTTATTTTTATAACGAATATTGGTTTATATGTAGGTTGGCAAAACCATATTTATCACCTTCTATAGTCTACACTATACTGTCTGAGATATGTACCTACTTTTCTTCTAATTTGAAATAAGGTGAAACTCAGAGACAGTATGTAACTTATTTAAAAATCATATAATTGTATAGTGCACACAGGTGAAGTTGACTTCAATCTTCTTGACTATTTAAAGCTTGTATTTTAAAAATAAGTCATAAACTCAAATTTACTAATGAAGACTAATAAATTGCAAAAATTTTCACTATAAAGCCCCTTTAAAGTTTCCTCTAAATGTCAATCAATATTTCAAGAACACTTTTACTTCAGAAAGTAAAGCCACACTGATCATTGTCATTACATATAAGTACACAGGACACTCAAATACTAAAAAAGACATAGTTCCTTATTTAACACGTTCATGACAGGGCCATAATTTATATGTCTCGCTGCCAGATGGTTTGAACCACTGGTGGTACATGCATAACTGTCCCACTGGGTGGCTTTTCATTAATCTTATTAGTAAAAGGACTGATAAAAGTCATTAGATCCATTTGTTCCACCAGTGGTACAAGTCACCTGGATGGGACAGTTATGAAGGTGCCACTGGTGGCTCAGAACAGAAACATGTCAATGCATGTGTTCACTGTCTCTCAAAAACAAAATTAGAGGAAACATATGTATAAATATGCATAAATATATTTATAAGCATGTATAAATATCTTTGTGAACACAAAGTATGTAAGATAGGCTCGAATAATTTGCCCAGAAATAGATACAATTATTTTCACACTGATATACTTCTTTTAAAAAGTCCTGTGTGTATATCTATAATAGATATTTATTCTATGTGGAGGGGTTTAAAATGCATGTGATGTTTTGTATTTCTTTTCTATCCCTGGAAAGACAAATATGACTCAATAAGATGAAGTCCTTCATGTAACAAGACTACAATGAAGGCACTTTTATCATATGACTCTCAAAACAGTCTAATAAAAAGGTTTTCAACTTTCCTAAATAAGCTCATTCGTACATTACTGTGAAAGACAGGGATGGACAATATAAGGTTCTTTAGAGAAATCTTCACCTCTGAAGACATGACAGCAATAGCTTTGTTATTTACCTGAAGATTTTCACAGGTCTCTTGACTATATGTAAGTCTCTGGATTTCTGTAGGTGAAACAAGATATAATGCTTGTCCATTGTTGGTGAAGCAGAATGTTCTGGCTATCCGCATATTGGTGAGGGGCAAGTAATATACATCCAACAGAGGCCTTAAGCTTGGCAAACTTGAGGAAAAAATTAAAACTTGTTAACAAAAACATGATAGATTTTAGTCTTGAACAGAGTATCATAGAAGTTAAAATGGCAAAGACCTTGCAAATCTTATGTTTAGTTTATACATCTGAGTGGGGGATAAAAAAATTATTTGCATTTCTCATATACTTGTTCACTAACTGAATTAGAATAAGTTTTGAGTATGTAATACTACAAGCAAAAAAGGATTTTTTTCAAATTGAACATAATTCTACAATATGATCTGAGGGAGAAAAGGCCATATCCGTGTTAAAAAAAAAAAACAAAAAAACTCCTTCTTACCTGAAAGTCATAATATGGCCATTGGCACAGAAACACGCAAGGCAGATACTGTTACTCAATGCTACAATATCTCCGCGAAGCACAAATGAGGTTTCTGTAATGTTTTGTTTATAAGCACAGTTCTGGGTTGGCAGTGAGATTACTTTTGCTTGCTTTTCAGAACATATCACTGCATACTGGTTTTCACTAATTTCCTGAGAAGAGGAGGGGGATACTGAGACAGGCCTCCTTTTTTTTGATTTTTCCTTTTCATCTTTTTCTTCAGGAATATTGTGTTCTTTCCATGGTTCATAAGCAGGTGGCATTAAGCAGCCTGTGGTGTCCAGGAATGCCATTCTCAAGATTGCACCTTTTAACCTCAATATAGTACCTAAAATATAGAACTATAATAAATCACTCAAATACTTTAATTCACAGAGTAAATATGCTTATTCCAACTCTGACACTAAATAGACACTCAAAAATATGTTAAACACATGTTAAACTGAAATTATACTTGGTGCACTGACAGGGTTAGAAAATCAAGCATGATATTTATGAGTCTGTGACAAGGTTATTAATATTACACATCCCAAATAGGTAAATACCATTAACTAAAAATTCACAATCTAATTAAACATGAATTTGCAAACATGTATCTGACCTACAGATTAATAGGCAACTGGCATGGTGGGTATCTGGATCTATGTCTCCTTTCATACCCTGTGTAAGTGTTCCATCAACAAGTATGAGAGCAAGTAGATGGCACATGGCAACTGGAGCTGTGCTGTCCCATACGGCAACTACTAGTCCCATGTAGCTGCAGAGCAAGGGAAATGTGCCTTGTCCAAACTATGCTGGGCAGTTGTGGTATGCTATGAGAGTGGAGCACATGCCACATTTGAAGATTTTAGTACAAAAAAACCCCTTAAATGTAAAATATATCAATATTTAAAAAATACGGATTACATGCTAAAACAACAGCGTATTATTAAAATTAATTTCACTTATGTTTTAGCATTTTTATGTGGCCATTAGAAAATTTAAAATTAAATATGTAGCTTAATTTACACTCATTAATACAGTACTGATCTAGAAGGGATATTGGAAAAAATTCCATATATTTCTAAATATCACCTCTAAAAGCATAGTTTCCTTTTGAACTACTTACCAATGAATGTCAAATATAACTCAGTATTAATTTGGTTAATTTATATCCTTAATTTAGGGGTTATGTTTATTATTTGCTTTAATTTGTGGTGTCTTTTTCCTACACATCCTCAAAAATGTACAAAAATGCTTTATATTCACTTTTAAGTAAGCTAAGGGAGGATACAGAATTGACTGTTTTCTAGTTCTTATTTTAAAGATTTTTCAAGTATTATTACTTACATTTATAATAATCTTTTGTAGTTTACAAAAAATTTTCTACAAATTATTTTATTTCTAAGAGGAAGAGTTCTTGATGCCCCCTCAAATTTTCTCTTAGGAGAAAAAATATACTTTCTTCTTTGCACTTATGTTTTCAATACAGTAGAGTTCTCAATAAAATAACATGTAGTTAAAGCTGAATTTCAGATAAACATATTCTTTTAGTAAAACTATGTTCCAAATACTATATATCTTTCCCAACACTGCATAGGACACACTCATATTTTAAAAAGTATTTGTCATGTGCAACTAAAATTTGACTGGGCATTCTATATTTTCATTGGGTAAAATTACTAACTGTAACCACCAGTTCAGGTTTGACAAGTGAATAATTTAAATGACTATTTTGAACAGTTTGGTAGAAAAATGAAAAACATGGAGCAGTTATTATAGCTTTAATCACTATAAATTGTCCTTTTCCTCAAAACATTCTAGAGCTGCCAATTTTCCTAAAGGCTCTTATTTTTTACTTTGGTTTACTCAAAGAGTCCTAGCTTTAAGTCTTGATGAAGTCAGTTGAATTATTCATGTTAATCTGGAAACCACTGTTTTTCTTTTCCTTTTCCTTTTTTCTTTTGGAGACTGGGTCTTGCTAAATCACCAAGTTGCCCAGGCTGGGCTGAAATTTGTGATCTGCCAGTCTCAGTCTCCCGGGGCACTGGGATTACACGTGTATGTCAGCATGCCAGGCTGGGAACTGTTTTTAGAACATACGTAGTCCTAATCTGTGGATTTTTCTAAAAATGGCCCAAAATAACTTTAAATATGTTTGTCCTATAGTTAGCAATAATTCAACTGACTTCAATCTCTTGTCTTCAGCTGCTTTCTCTGAGGCCAAACCCAAGCCTATTTCAAGCCCTAGTCTAATTTTTCTTGGAACTGCATTTCCAACACCTTACTAGACTTTTCTGTTATGTCTCATTATGCACAATTAAATAACATCATTAAACAAAGTACTAAATTCTTCTCATGAGACTACTTATATTAATGACACTCTTGTTCTCCTAAGGAACAACACTTAGAATAAGCCACAGTTTTGATTTCACACTTAAGAAATTAAAAATAACCAAGGGTAGAATGTTTAGAAGTACACATTTCTGTTTTTTGTCCCTAAGTATATAACATACTTTTGCTTGGAGAACATAATATTTTGAGGTATTGGGAATATGTTATTATAACTATTTAAAAAACTTTCTTATGTTGTAATCACTTTCCACATGATCCTAGAGTTTTAAAAAACATAAAACTTGAGTGGCTGTACAAATAATTTTTAAATTTTATTCCATGTATTCCTTTATTAAAAACCTATGACTATCACTCTCTCCAATTACTTTGTATTTTAAAATTCTTACATTAATTCAATAATAAAAAGGAAAGGCTTCTAATTAAATCATAGCAAATTCCACCCATAACAGAATTATATGTGCAGCATCAGAGCATACATACCACTTGGAGACACAATCACTGGCTGAAGAAGTCTTTGTTCTCCCCCGGGGGGAAGGTTCAGTGCAATGACAAGCACTGTTCCTAGGGTAGTTCCAACCCACAGACATGGAGAAGGAGAGGAGTCTGCCTTCCGAGTAAAAGTTTCACAGAAATGAAGGGCGGAGATCGCTTCTCTGGATTCTTTATCAATGCTTGTCACACTGGAACTCCGCGATCTGCTGAAGGAATTATCTTTTACATCTGAAACAATTTAAAATGTTGTGAGACTGCTCAAATTATAAAATATCACTTTTGGGGATATAAATTTGGTCAAATACTTAATCTTTAAAAAAACAAATATTTAGTTTTAATTTTTTTAATTGAAAAAAATAAATGTACTTTTACGTTAATACAATTTCCATGTTGCTTAAATTTAAAATACAAATGAATAAATCCAGTTTGCAGAAATGAGCTAGGTGCATCACAATGAATTTGTGAATTTGTGAATATGTGACATTTGTAATCCTAGCTGCTTTTCTAATTTCAGCACTCTAATCTGTTCTCATGGTGGAGTTTCTTCCTCCATTACTCTACACAATTCATGATTGGGTAGAAATAGAAGAGTAAAGCTCTTTTTAGCTTTCTACATGTTAAAAAAGGTATTTGGCAGTACTCTGATGATAAGCCTCTTATTTTTTTAGACTTCTATACGAACACCTTCAAACAATAAAGATTTAGTTTTCATTTTTCTTGAATGCCATATTAGGTATAACAACATTCATCTAAGACATTTTTCTGCAAAATACATAATTGATATCTGTATCATACTGGATACCAGACATATTCCCTTTGCTCAGTTCTGTAATGACAAGAATATTTTAAAATTATACTAATTCTTCAGCTACTTTCTCTGTGGCCAATCTCAAGCATGTCTCATACCACAGCCTCATTTTTCTGGTAACTGCATTTGTAAATACTTAGTAGACTCTTCTGTTATATCTCACTATTTATATTAATGACACTGCCATTTTCCTAAGAAATAACACTTAAAACAAGCCATAGTTCTGATTTCTCCCTTTCACTTTACCTATACACCTGATGGAATGCCAAACCCTGTTATTTTACTAAATGTTCTGTTTCAGTTTTTCTATTATCAAATTATCACCCTATCATTACCATTTACCTAGCCTCATTTCCCCACCTTCAGTCTCTCAGTTCTAACACAACCCAATTAAATTCTGTCACATCAATTTAAAAAGTTCACACTGGCTTCTCCTCTTCTATTGAATCATGCTTACAATCTACTCACAAAAGACCTTTAAGCTACCTTCCAGCCTTTATCTCTTAATGGTGCACTCTTCAGTTCACTGTGAAAAATAAACTGAGTCATTTGATTTTCTCCAAACATAACCACTTAACTACTTTTACGGTGTTGTTTGTGATTTTCTGACTTAGCATCTTTTTCCTATCAAAGTTATGCTTAGTTTCCACTTCAGTTTATCCTGACTTTAACAACCACAGACATCTTCTCTCTCTTCTGGATACACAGCCATAGAACTTTGTCTCCCAGTACACTCAGAGTACATCTGTTCTGCAGTAACTTCTGACTTGTCTTGTCCTCTGCTTTAATGTGACTGCAAATGTTTCAAGTATAAGGACTGTGTCATTTTCATACTTTGGAGAATTCTACACAGGGCCTTGCTCATAAAAAAGGTATCCTGTTCCTTGTTGCCTTTGCTACCTTGTGCACACCATGCTGTTTCTCCTCTGACATGCCTGCTTGCCATGGCTGCCTTGGAGCCAGCCGATTGTGGATTGAAACCTCTATGAACTGTCTGTGTTAATGGTATTAAGAAGTAGGGGCTTCGGGCTTCCGGGCTGTCATACCACTGGCCCCAAGGAAGAGCAGCAGAACTGCCTCCAGCGCCAAGGAGGTAAGCCTTACAGGCCCCCGTACCACCGCACCCAGCACCCAGGAGGTGAGCCATGTACGCACAAGCAGCACACTGCCCTTCCCCCCACCCAACCCCCCCCACACACTGAAATGATAAGATATGTAAACAAGTCTCAAAACAAGACTTCCAGATCACCTAAAGCAACCCCAAAGGGAAATGAGATGGAAAAATCTGATACTCAACCACCCGGACTCCCTGAACTGGCAACAAAAGAGGATATGGAAAAAATGAAATCATAAATAATTTCTCACACAACAGCAGAGATTGTGCCCATAGTGCAAGACATGATTAATAAATCTAGA